TGGTACTTATATGGAATGTTAGCACCACATCAGTGGCCCTGGCTATACCAATTTCTGGCTTGTAGAGGGTAAGTTAAGTTGCTCCACAGTCTTTGCTGTCGGTTCACATTGTTATGCTTTCAAAATTTAATCTTCTCTTTGCAGTATTTTTTAAAAAAGATTTATTATTTCATAGTCTCAGGAAGATGGGTTCTGGTTTACCCCCAAATGGCTTTGACAGACAGGGCTGGGCCAGGCTGACGCCTGGAGCCTAGAACTTCACCCACGTCTCTCATTTAGGTACAGGGGGCCATGCACTTGGGCCAACTTGTGCTGCATTCCCAGTGATGCCAATGGAGTAGAGGGAACTTAAACTGGCACTATATGAGATGCTGGCATTGCAGGTGGCAGCTTTACCTTCTGTGTCACAGTGCTATCCCGCTCATTCTGATTTTACCAACAGACTCACTGTGTGTTGTTTATTTATCTGACAATTTATGATGTTGAAGGCCCTCTGGTGTGTTTTTGACCGTGTGTTATCAACGACTTGTTTATAAAGAAGTGATCTTTGTCTTTGGATATTAAATCACTCTACATATATTTTTTTTTTCTCGCAGCAGATAATTTATAGTGCAGGCTTTTGTTTTTATGTTTTACTTTTTTTCCTGATTGTATTAGGGCATGGTAAAGTAGTTTTGAGTCTCATTAACTCTGATTGAACTTCTGATTTAGAACTCCAGATCTGTTTGTAGAAGTTTGTCAGTTTAGTCTTCAAAGGAATGAGCTTCAAATTCAGAGAATATTTGGGGCCAGATAATTCCTACTCAGAAAGTCAGTCAGAAGGACCAGTGTTACGGTGCAGTAGGTTAAGCTGCTGGTTGTAGCAACAGCATTTTGCATTAAAGTGCTGATTTGAGCTGCTTCCCGTCCAGCTTACCCACATGGAGTTCCAGCTCTGGCTGTTGCGGCCATTTGTGGAGTGAACTGATAGCTTCATTATTTTAGAATTTGTATTTCCCGATTGAACTCTCCTGTGAGGACTGTCGTAGTAGGTTATGAGCTATGTGGAATGTTGATAGGCATGTCTTTTTAAGTCTGTTCTGCGTGAGTGGACCCACTGCTCCCCTGCTTGTTCCCAGCACACTGGCCAGGGAGTTCCCCGCTTAACATAGGTTGTCGGATTGTCTTGGAGCGACCCAGAGGTGCTTTACCCTGGATGAAGACAGTGCTTACAACGGACTCCAGGAGGTCTCCCTAGTTTGCCATCTCTTTGTGCTTGGATGCTGCCGCTAGTTCACCCCTCTTGTTTCATGTCTCTGTTGATTTCCTTGTTGCTGGCCCTAAGTCTTCCACAGCGTATTTACTTGCTTGGATATGATGACCCGTAACTTGAGTGCGTATCTCATGAAGACTGTAGTTTCTGCTCAGACATTGGTGCATCCTCAGTGCCCAGACCAGTGCCTGGCACATAGTAACAACTCCTAAATCCTGGTAAAGATTGCATGTCCTGCCAAATATGCAAAATGCCATGAGGGTCATTATTTCAACACTGCAGTGCAGGGCATGGCACCAGCGTTAGTAAGCACTGTTTTGTATTTATAGACCCATTTTTATTTTATGAAATGGTAGTCAGAGGTAAGTTGTACCTTAGAGAGCTTTTCTAACTTTTGCCGATGATTGGTTCTCTCACATTGGGGTAGGATGAAGCAGTGTGTGGCATCATCTTATTATGAATGTAACGGAAAAAGGAGGGACTAACAAAGTAATGAGATAGAACACAAAGTTCCATCTAAGAAATAGAAATAATTTTTAATAAACTAAGCATATTCCAACTTTTTTTGGAATTGAATACTTCTAAAAAAATACTTATTTGAATGGCAAACTGACAGAGAAAGCGGGAGAAGACAGGTAGCTTCCATCTGTTGACTTATTCCCCAAATTCCTACAACAGCCTGGGCTGGGCCAGGCCGAAGCCACAAGCCAGCAGCTCTACTTAGGGCTCCCACAGGGGTGGCAGGGTCCAAGTGCCCAGACCCTCATCTGCCACATCCCAGTGCGTACGTTAACACGGAGGTGGCTCAGAAACAGATGGCACTTGATCCCAGGCACTCTGGTATGGCATCTGGGCATCCCAAGCAATAGCCAACCTGCTATATATACCTCAGTGCCTTCCCACACAAAATCAGTTCTCTTAAAAAAAAAAAAGAAAGAAAGAAATCATGAGATTTGCAAGAAATTTTGCACTTGTCTTCCACCATTGACTTCAGGTAACAAATGAGAAGTGCAAACGTCAGCAGTAGGTCAACTCAGCCATGCCTGGGGTGGGGGCCAGAGGCCTTTATTGCTGAAAACCCTAAATTTGGTCCTTGGGTAATCGCTGTGTAATCAGGGAGTTGGTTCCATTGTTGGACACCATTCGCTGTTAGAAAGTTCTTTCTTTGATATGAAACCTGCCTCTTTCGTTCCTTTAAATTGGTCCTCTCTCCTTCCTTTGGAGCACATAAACTGATTGTCCTGGCTCTATCAACGTTTTCTGTTTGGTTCCCTTGGTCCTCTTCTCTATGACATGGCTTTTGCACTTCTGTCACCCCCCAATCACCTTTCCTTGGAGTTAATTTGTTAGTTTTTCTGTTAAAGTGGAAGACCCAAAGCTGTTGACTGCTTGTCTTTAACTTAAACTTCCAGTGTGAGGGGCTGCTTATAAAATGCAGCATTGTTTACATTTTAGCAAAAATTTTTTCATTAGCTTACCGCAATATTTGACCAGCCACTTTAAACTTCATTTTTCTCTAATAGAATGATTAACCAGTATGAATAAATAATGATTAATAAGACATTCTGGATATGAGTAATTTAGTTCCTAGTTTTAAAAAAGCTAAATGTTTTATCAGTGTATCAAACTTCAGGCCAATTATTCCACTTTAGTTATTGTTGGCCTTAGGTAACTGATATGGGAAACTAAGGAAATAATTATTGTTCAGATCATTTTAGTGTCTTAACTGAAATGATTTGCACAAGGCAGTTGTCTGTGTATAATGTTTGGAGTAAGGGTTGCCCCCCCTTGTTACCTGAGAGCTAACAGTTTCTCTTATATGTTGCAATTAATGTCTGACAGGTTACCTGATAATACTATTCTTATATTTGATATTCTTCTTCTCATTTATGAATTTGTTGAGAGGGATAACTTTCTGATGTATTTAGTTTTCATTTTCCTAAAACATTCCAGGTTTTTTTTTTTCCTCCCTTTAAATGATCTCACCGTTTTGATCTTGGTTGTGGTACCTCGTTTGTATTCCAGGCTCGTCTTTGTGGTTGAGAAACGTTGAGATGTCTGAGCAAGTCACAGACTGGCTCGTCTCCATGTTTGCTTGTCTGTGCAGTGAGATGCTTGGACTGCTTTGAGTGTCCTCTTTCACCCTCCACTTCTCTGAATAGCAGCCAGAGGGCCCTTCGTGCACTTACAGTCAAATCCCAACTCAACCTCTGCCCATCCCTGCAGGCTGTCCCCTCTGGTACCGGAGGAGTTTACCCTGGCCTGTTTTCTCTCTCATATTGTGGTCCAGGAGATTGAATCATTCTGGCCATCATTCTTACAGTGGACAGTAACTGTGGGGCTGAAGCTCTGCCTGCTCTAGTCACAGCAGTTAAGCTATCTGCTGGTGAACAGGTACATTTTAAGTTCTTCAGAGTTGGGGTTCATCTTCTTCTACTGCAGGTTGAGCCACAGCCTGCGATACTGACACCCCATTTGAGCACTGGTTTGTGCCCAGCTACTCTCCTTGTCTAACTCCCTGCTGATGTGCCTGGCAAAGCAGCCAAAGATGGCCAAGTTCTTGGGCACCTATCACATGTTTGGGAGACCTGGGTGAAGTGCCTGGCCATTGTCACCATTTGGGGTATGAACTAACTCACAGACGATCCCTGTCTTTCCCACTCTGTAGCTTTTTCAAATAAATAAGTAAATCCTATTAAAAAAGGTAAAGTTCTTCAAAGCTATATTTCATAGCATATAATTCTGCTTTGCAGCTACTATATTATTAAAGGAAGAATTAGGAGTAAAGCATATTGCTTTAGTGGTATTAGTAATACTATTTATGAAGCCCTTTCTACCTGTGGCAATACGGAGACATCCCAGTAAGGTCCTTGGGCAATTATAAAGCAAATTGAAAGCATGCTATTGCAAAAATTAAAAGAAAAATTGGAAAGGAATTAGGAGGGAGCGTGGGGAGTATAATTATGTTCTAAGACTCTGTCTATGAAGTACATTAAATCTGTACCCTCTATATAAATTAAAAAATTGAAAAAATAAAAACCCCGGTTCCAGATAATACATTTAGAATAACAGAGAAAAGGCTTTGTAAGGTGCCTCAAAAGTCTTGAGTCTTTCCTCCTCTGCTGTGTCTTTTCCTGCCTGTTTTCAAGGATCTAAAAGCTCTGACATGCACAACCCTGCCATTAGCTTTACATGACTTAATTAGGAATAAGGCGGCTTGATGCTGTGGAAGGGCAAGGGCTTAGGGAAACAGGGAGATCTATCCTGACATTTACTGCTAGAATTCCTTTGCTTTTTCTGAGGCCTGACTTCCTTATCTATAAAAAAGGAGTAAGTTAGTGTCTGTCTTGTAGGGTTATTATTGTAAATGAGAGGATGTGTGTGATGTTTTCTGCCACCTGAGTGCTCAATAAATCAGTTTTCTTTCTTCCTGTGTATCAACATCCTACACAGTGTCTAGCAGTCCCAGCCATACTCTGCATCTGCCAAGTCACAGACAGGTCCTCCTGGTCTACCAAGGGGCCATTATCTTACCTGCAGTTTTTCCTTCATTGATGCCAAAGAGGTTTGCCATAAAGTTGACTAGTTCTTGTATATCTGATGAACTCAGTAGGGAAGGGTAATATTTAAATTGTAAATTCTATCTTAATTACCATATTAATAAATGATAATAGTTTGAAAGCTCATTGAGGTGAATGAAAAGTATGCTGTTACTGATCCATATCTTTTTTTTACTACCTATCCCCAGGGAAGGAAAAATATGCAAGATGGCGCAAGTGATGGTGAAATCCCCAAATTTGACGGTGCCGGATATGATAAGGATCTGGTGGAAGCTCTGGAGAGAGACATCGTTTCCAGGAACCCTAGCATCCATTGGTTAGCATCTTTCATGTTGCTGAGTTAAAGTAGAGGACAGAAGGAAGCCAGTTTAGGTTGACTGTTGTTTCTCATTCAGCTCCTGATTCCGACCTCATTCCTAACGTGACTGTGTAGAATTGACAGGGGAGTTCTTTTAGAGCACAACCAAGGATGTTTTCCATGCTAATCTGGTGTTGACAAAACTGACAAAAGTAGTTAATTGAATAATATGTCTTAATTAATAACTGCAATATGTTTTCATTGATCATTTTATGCGCTAAGAATTAGAATAATGTTCCTAACATAAGAATAATTTCCTGAGTAAAATCATGTAAGAGAATGAGTGTTGACTGTAAATCAGAGGTGTCTCCGAGTGCGCCTTATGAAACCTCGCTCTTCTTGCCAAGGGACGACATAGCGGATCTGGAGGAGGCCAAGAAGCTGCTGAGGGAGGCTGTGGTCCTGCCCATGTGGATGCCCGACTTCTTCAAAGGGATCCGGCGGCCATGGAAAGTAAGGCTTCATTCACATGGCTCTGCCATGAACGTGTGCTTGCATGAAGACGAAGGACAGCCTTGCCTTTCTTAAAGGAGTTTAACAAAGTTTGTAAGTTTGGAGGTCTGGCTGCATGCCAACACCTGGATTTTGCGGCAAGGCTAGGGGGTACAGTCTGCACAGCAGGTGGGGTGACCTCTTGAGTTACTTTCCCCTGGGGTTCTAAGCTGGAGAGTGATAGGAATCTTCCAGATGCCTTTCTGTGACAAAAAGCTAATAAGTGGATTAATCAGTGGCAGCACATAGTCGTAGAGAATCCGTGTTTGATCGTATTTCTCACTATTGTGGTTTTGACTGTTGTGTCCTCTAGGCTTGATACACTGCCTGCAATCAGAAAGCCTGTTTCTTCTCGACTTGCCTTCCTTCAGGTTAAAGCCTGCCCAGCACTGGTCCTTCTGAGTCCAGCGTTTTCATTTTGGCTCTGTAGTGAAGTGTCTCCCCAGATGCCCGGAAACCCTTGCCTTCCTGGCACCTGGTTTTGTGTGTCTCAGGCCATGAGAGTCCGTTGCATGCTTAGACAAGGAGAATCCATGGAAGTGCGATTGTCTTTCTCTTTGCCCCCAGGTTGGCTGGGAAGATGTGTTTCCCTGCTCAGCCTCATCACCTCTCTGTCAGTGCACCTGCAGGAAGAGAGAAAGACAAACTGTGGGTTTACACAAAGAACTTAGGATGCCCAGGGCATTTTGATTGCTTCTCATGACTTGAAAATTCCTACAGGCTACATTTGTTTTTGAAGAGATTTACCTTATTTTAGGAAGCTATTACCTGAAATTCCTCATTTTCATAACGTTTGAAACTATTTAAAAACTAAATAAGGTTTAAAATAGTTATCTTAATGACATAAATTACTTAGTGTTATATATTGATGCTCCTATTTTTGTGAAGGGTTTATTATGATGATTGATGTTATAATTTGGAAGTGTTCTTTTAGTCTTATAAAGTTTGTATGCCAGAAAGTGATGTAGGCTAGCTTAAGAAAGAATGTAATTTTAACTTTGATATTTTAAAATTAAAAATTAAGTGAATCGAATAGCCAATAGGTTAGACCCTTGCAGAGTATTTAGAATTCAGTGCTTCTCTGATGTCATTTCTTTTTCCAGCACTGGTATCATCACCTATTCATGTATTTGATTTGCAACTCAACAAAACAAAATGAAACAAAACAAAGCAAAAAACAAGCAAAATGCCTTGGGCAGCTGAGTGATGCCTCTGTTGGTCTTGTTCTCTCTGTTGGTTTTGTTCTTGCTGGTCTGCTAGCCTTAGCGTCCAGCATCTGCCTTGCGGCATCCTTCACCTTGCCTTTAACTTGTGATGGGAAACATTTGAGGTATTTTTGTTCAGCTTGTCTCATCACACAGGAATATTAATAGGAGTTGCTGTTTATCTGGAATGGCAGAGTTTGATAAAATTGAAATGAACAAAGGAGTATTTTATTATTTTAGATCATTATAGAGTAACTTAATTAGGATAAGGTTTGTTTCTTTTTGATCTGCAATGCTGCAGGAGACGGTATATTTGGGAAGCTATGCCTACTTCAGACTTGAAAATTTCAAAGAAATGTGTAGGGTGGATGAAAAGATAAAGGGTTTCTGTACTGGTGGATCTAAACTCTGGTGTGAAATCCATCTTCATGGCCTGCTTGGTGCAGCTTCCTCACTGTAGGGCCACCACACAGTGAAAGTCATTTTCTGTGGCCGTCACAGATGGTGTCTGGTATTGCTGTAGACGTTGTGGGATCAGGGGCAAACGTTTTTGATCAGCTAAAGCTGATTATGATTTGCTGCTGATTATTTCTGAATCTTTTCAGTATACTTTGAATTTTCATAGTTTTTTTTTGTTTGTTTCTAAAAATGAGTGTATTTTTAGAAACTACATACACTGAGGAAGAGGTCTTCTTTGTATTGTTTCACCCCCGCAGATTCCTTCAGCACCCAGGACTGGGCCAGACCAAAGGCAGAAGCTGGAATTCAGTTCAGAGTTCCTAAGTAGATGACAGGGGCTCAAGCACTTGAGCCATTGCAGTGTCTCCCATGAGCAGGAAGGTGGCATAAGAGGCAGAACTGGGACTCGAACCCTGGTACTTTGATAAAGATGTGGGCATTGTAAGCGGTGCCTTAGCCACTGCCTCGAACACCTACTCTGAGCTATTTCTAAAAAACACTTGCATTTTTAAAAAGTTTATCATTTCATTACTACAAAAATGTGATATAGTTATATCCATTTATTTATTTCTTGTGATTTTGCAGTATTTATTGGCCAATTAGATGAAGAATAATTGTAAATGTTTGGAGTGAATTTTATTGCTGGGTTGATTTTTTTCTGTGTCAGTAGAATAAAATTCTAAACTACAATCATTCTCTTTTTTTTTTTTCAAGGTAACATTTGAATATTTTATAGATTTGTTAGTTTATAAAAATAGGTTAAAAAAGTTGATGTTTAAGGATTTGTATATGAGACTGCCAGAAAAATTTGTCAAATTCATAAAATTTGTCTTTAAAGCTAAATTGCAACATTTCAATACTGGAGTGAACCTTTCAGAACTTATCAGATCTCCATAATTTGACAGGCTGGAAAATTGAGGTCCAGAAAAATTGCATTGGTCATGATGGTCCTTCCAGCATGGTTTAAGTGGAGGGGCCAGCATTGTTATGCAGCAGCAGCTCAGGCCGCCGCTCATGAAAATCAGTGTCCCGTATCAGAGTGCCAGTTTGCGTCCTGGCTGCTCCACTTCCAGTCCATCTTCCTGCTAATATGCCTGGGAAGACAACATATGGTGGCTCAAGTACTTGAGTCCCTGACACCCCCCACGGGGAAGACCTGGGTGGAGTTCCTGGCTTCTAGTTTTGACCTGGCTGTTCTCTGGCTGTTACAGCTTTTTGGGGAGTGAAACAGCAGATGGAAGAGTCCTCTCCCTCTCTGTTTCTCTTGCTCTGCCTTTCAAATAAATCAGTAAATAATTCTTTTTAAAAATATGTCTCAGCTTTTGGGTTTATGGGTGCCTTTTTTCAATAACACACTTCCCTCCTGTGTAGTGTGATATTGCTTTATTTTCCCAGTAGATACTTGCTCAGGCCTGTTATGTATATTGTTCCTCACTAATGTACTTGGAAATTGTGTAGGGTTTCTGAGGTCCTGGGATGTGAGCCATCCTAGATGGAGAGTTCAGTACAAGGGAACCTGCCCCAGGTGCAGGCCAGTAGGCAAGCATGGCATCACTAGGAAAGGCTTTCTTTTTGAGAATGTGGGATTTTCACTGCGATTTTCAGGAGTGCATTCTGGTGAAGACATTTCTGATGATGTCGGAGCTTGGGGAGGGATGAGTGATCTGACCAGTGAAACATACATGAGAAAAATCTTTTTGTGGGTTTGGGAATGCTGGATTGGAGCTTTGTCAGAGAGGCAGCCCTGCATGCTAGCAAAGGGGTCAGAACCTGACCCAGACAGTCTGGGCTTTTCCCATGTAACAGCTCTGTGATCGATCTTATTTATTTATTTCTAATTTATTTAGGAAGAAAAGAAAGATACTGAAAGGGAGATCTTTTATCCACTGACTCACTCCAAATGTCTGCAGCAGTCCAGACCACACGGGTCAGGATTGTAAGCTGTCACCTGCTTGCCTTCCTGGGCATTAGGAGGAGCCAAGACTGAAGCAGACACTAAATGCCCACATCCCAGCCGCTGCACTAGATGCCCACTCTATCTGTACTCCTGAGCAAGTCATGGGACTTCTTCATGCCTCAGTCTCCTTATCTATGGATGGGTAAAATAACAGTTATCTCATAGGATAATGTGAAGATAAAAAGAAATTAGTGAAGTCTTAGAACAGTAGCTAGCAATGAACTGTGTGAATGTCAAATCAGTTAGGGGTGTGCCAGAGTGTGTTTTCCAAGGCGTTGGTTCTTGTCATGTAGTCATTAGGGAGTCATCTGTGAGCATGAAAGGTAGACTAGTTAGACCAGTGGCTTGGGAAAAGCGATTTATTTGCAATGAGTGGAGATAAACAGGAGGCAACTTGGCAATAATTTAGACTCATAATTCCAAGGGCCTGGATTGGGATGGTGAATTTGAGAACAAAAGTAGAAGTCAAAGCTGGTGTCACTTAATGAGGAGATGGATATAACCTTGGGGTGTAACATGTCAGTCTATGTGGAGAAGAAGGCAGGGAACGTAAATACCAAGGCTTTCTTTCTGGGTAATGGGGATGGTAATGCAACTGGGATGAAGATGCTACTTTAGTTTTACTGATCCAAACCAGGGTGCTTCAGCTGAGGGCGGAAACAGAGTTAGAAGTTGGATTTGCTGACCATTTTAAAGGGGGGGAAGGTGCTATTTGTTGCATTTTCAAAATTTATTTGTAGCGTGAAATTTGCTCTAATAGAATGAAATAAGACCCAGACTTACAAATTTCCAGTTTAGATAATATGATTTTTTTTAAGATTTAAGATTTTTTAATTGGAAAGGCAGATATACAGAGAGGAGAGACAGAGAGGAAGATCTTCCACCCGATGATTCACTCCCCAAGTGAGCGCAATGGGCCGATACTATGCCGATCCGAAGCCAGGAGCCTCTTCCGGGTCTCCTACGCGGGTGCAGGGTCCCAAAGCTTTGGGCCGTCCTCGACTGCTTTCCCAGGCCACAGGCAGGGAGCTGGATGGGAAGCGGGGCTGCTGGGGATAGAACCGGCGCCCATATGGGATCCCGGGGCGTGCAAGACGAGGACCTTAACCACTGCGCCACCGCGCTGGGCCCGATAATATGATTTTTAAGACAATTTTTTAAGTTATACTTAGAAAATAAGGAGATGTCCAGGATATAGATTGCTACATTTATTAATGGCTTAAATAAGTAAATAAATGTGAATATTAAGCAGAAGCATATCAACGAGCATGTAGAAAAGTAGAATTAAAAGGTAAGTTTATTTTGGCACAGAAAAATTTAATATCTGAGTATGATTCTTT